TAGAACTGGCCCATAGAGTTTCCAAGGAGCGACTGCCGACCTTTTGGTTAGCAACTGTAGCACTTAACCACTACACCACCACGTACTTGACTACAGTAGCATTGCAAAGGGCTAAAGCCATGAACAAAGTAAAACAATAAAATCCACAGTACAGGAGACTGCTTTTAGGAAATAGGATATAAATGGCAATTGTAGATCAACAGAGCCAGAAATGAGAACATTTCTGAAAACATATTAAAATCTTCCCTGCCTCAGAATTAATCATAACCCTATTCTAGAATATAAATGTCAATATTCTAATTTCATACTCTGTTTAAAATTACCTGAAGAGTTAACTGAACCTCCTTTTACTCGATTTCCTATTTTATCTCCTATAGCCCAGGCTGTTGGAGATTAAGGAACCAGTAGGTCAGATGTAATGTAGCATCTGGAATTAAGCACTGGCGCTCAGAACTGATCCCATCACTTATCAGCTATGTAAACTTTAAACAAATTCCTTAACTTGTCTGCATCTCAGCTTCCTTGACTGTAAAATGTGGGCAATATATTATCTACTTTATATGTGTATAGTGACTATGACATGATACGATCCATGTAAAGGTCTTAAGCAAAATGTGTATTCCATAGCGAAAATAAATGTCAGCAATTATTCTGTCCGGCATTCTTACTCAGTAAAACTTTATCTAAACATGAACAAATGGTTTGAGTCTGGAGTATCCAACCATCAATTCCTTTGTTCTTCTTGTGTTGTCTTTAGTTTTGAGAGGCAATAGTTTTTGAATTGCACCTCCTTAATAATAATAGTAATTAGAAGTCTCTGGGTGGTGCAAATGGTTAATGTGCTGGACTGCTAACTGAAAGGTGGGAGGTTCAAGTCCACCTGGAGACACCTTGGAAGAAAGGCCTGGTGATCTACTTCTGCAAAATCAGCCACTGAAAACCCCTCTAATACACATGGGGGTCACCATGAGTTGGAATCAATTTGATGGCAACTAGTAAACTGGTAATAATAATTATAGCTAATATTGACATAGTGCTGACTATGCGCCAGGCAATGTTCTAAGAACTTTATGTAGACTAAACATTTCATTCTCACAACCACCCTAAGATGTGGGCATGATCATTATCCCATTTTCACAGTTAAGGAGACTGAGGCATACAGACGTCCTCGAAGACCAAGTCGTTGTGTATTTCTACTGAGACTTACATTAACACTTAAAGTCTACATGTCAATTATTCCTTCCTTTACTCTTGGTTAAACTCTATCGAATTTCCATCCTGCTAACTTGAAAATATTATGCAATGCATTTCAAATAACTGGCTTTTCATGTAGCTTCTCATACCTACCCCCACCACCATGGGCCAGACATTGAGAAAAGGGGAGAATGCTGAGGGAGGAGGCAAAAGGATAAGATATATTCTCTGTGCTCACGGAGTTTAAAAAATGTGGTCTGACATTTGTTAAGAGTAATTTAATTGTGTTACATTTGCATTAATCTGTGCTTGGCACATGGATTTTGCATAAACACTGGAAAGGAACACACAGTATCTATTGTATGCCAGCGTATCCTCGGGGTGGAAGAGGCATAGTGCACATTCATGGCCCCCAGAGCTCAGTCAGGTATTTGCACATATAAGCAACCTGCAACCTTTACAGTTTTGTAGGAGGAGAGAGACTCCCTTGAGGGTGGGAATTGCATCAGTAGTCCGTAGCTCCCCTTACAAATTTGACCCATCCACATCCCATCCCCACAAGACCTCAGAAAACTTGAACTCATCCAGTGTTAGGAGACAACTGAGCTTAACGTACTTCTTTACCCAGCAAAATTTAGTTTTAAAAGGGGGTTCTTGAAGATAGAAAAACTTTGAAGAGCCAAAAGGGGGGAAATGGTATCATTTGAGGACTCCTGGTAGGAGGAGCTATCAGAGAGGGTAGAAGAAGAGCGAGAGCGGAGTTTCCAGGTTATCTCTCCGGTCAATCCTCCCAGGCCTACATGCAAGGCTAATACATACACAGGGAGTTTACTGTCTCTGGAGTCAATCTTTATAAGAATAACCAGCATAATTTTACTCCCTCCATTTTTTAAAATAAAAAGACACATATCTTTCTTCACTCATACATTTTTATCTTTATGTCTAACAATTAAGGTCTAAATATGTAGGTATACATACGTATATAAACCAAACTCGTTGCCGTTGAGTAGATTCTGACTCATAGGGACCCTATAGGACAGTGTAGAACTGCCCCATAGGATTTCCAAGCAGTTGCTGGTGGATTCAAACTGTCGACCTTTTGGTTAGCAGCCTAGCTCTTAACCACTGCGCTACCAGGGCTTCGTGTATATATATATAAAGTTACATAGAATTCTTGAAAAATTGGAAATGTATCTAAACATAAGAAATTGATAATAAAAACAGACCAGTCACCCTGAGACATCTATTAGAACAACTAAAATTATAAAGACTGACTACACGAAATGTTGACAAGGATGTGAAGCAACTAAAACCCCCATACACCGCTGGTGGGATGTTAAATAGTACAACCACTTTGGGAAATATTTTGACAGTCTCTTTAAAAGCTAAACATACACTTACCATATGATTCAGTCATTCTACCCTGAGATATTTATCCTAGAGAAATGAAAGCATTCATACAAAGGCATATACAAGATTGTTCATAGCAGTGTTATTTGTAATCATCCAAAACTCAAAGGAATCCCAAAGTACATCAACAGGTGAATGGATGAACGAAATGTGCTATATACATACAATGAAATACTACACAGAAATAAAAAGAAATGAATTATTGATTCATGTAATCATGATCTGAGGGAGAACGATGTGGCAGTCGGCTTCCATAAAGATTTACAGCCTTGGAAACCCTATGGGGCAGTTCCACTCTGTCCTATAGGGTCACTGTGAGTTGGAATCAACTTCTCGGCAACGGGTTTGGGTTTTTGTTTTTTGGGGGGTAGGTTATAGATACATAAACCTCTATATTTGATAGAGGCCTATTTAACAAGCTGATGCTTGTTCAAAGTCTCCCTTATATTAATCGTCAGACTGTTTTATTTTGGAGTTTTATTTATACATATATACCAAAAACCAAACCTGTTGCCCTAGAGTCAAGAGATATATATATATAGATATAGATATGCACATACATGTTTCACTGGTTTTGCTTCTCTAGAGAACCCAGCCTAAGACAGTAGTTATACGCAATATCTTTCAGGGAAATGTCCAAAGGAGGGTCTACTTACACAATCGGGGGGCAGTGGTGGTTCAGTAAAGAAATCTGCCGGCACAGTGGTTAAAGTCTCGGCTGCTAATCGAAAGGTCAGCGGTGCGAACCCAGCAAGTGCACCATGAGAGAAAGATGTGGCAGTCTGCTTCCATACAGATTTCAGCCTTGGAAAATCTATGGGGCACGTCTACTCTGTCCTGCAGGGTTGCTATGAGTCAGAATCAACTCAACAGCAACGGGTTTGGTGGTTCAGTGATAGAATTCTCACCTTCATGCTGGAGACCCGAGTTTGATTCCCAGCCAAGGCATCTCAACCACAGTCGCCACCCATCTCCCAGGGGAGGCTTGTGTGCTGCTGTGCTGCTGAACAGGTTTCTGCGGAGCCTCCAGGCTAAGATGGACTAGGAAAAAAGCCTGGCAATTTACTTGTGAAAATCAGCCTACCAAAACCCTATGGATCCACAACCAATCATAGGGATGCTGCAGGGCTGGGTAAGGTTCTGTTCTGTTGGGCGTGGGGTCCCCAGGAGATGAGGCCAGCAGCAGCTAACGACAAATGTTCACAGTTCGCTAGAGGAGAAGCCAAGAAAGCTAACATCGCCGAAAACTGGGTAAGCCTTTTTCAGTAAAGAACAGAGATCTAATACATCGGAGGTCAGAAAGACGGGGAGGTTAAGAGAAAAAAAAAAGACTTACATAATGAAAGGAAATTGATCAGATATCAAAACTATACTAAAACATATTTCTTCAGATACTTTCTACTGTACACAGCGCCACCTTGAGGAAAACAATAGGAAATACCAGTTTATGTTTAATCAAGCCCGATTTATTCGTTGATTTATTCATTCAGTATTTACTGAGCACTTCCAAGTATACCAGGCACCGTTCTAGAGGCTCCGGATGAACCAAAAACAACAAAATTCCTGCTCTCTTCGAGCTTATTTATCAAGAAAATCAGTTTGGTTTTAAATAATTTATGGTCATACTCATTTTACACATTTTTTTTTTAATTAAGAATTTAAAGGAAGTCTTTCGTACTGAACACAAACAAAACAGACCATTATGAGTTTTTCTTTTTATATAGGTTTTTACAGAAGGGCTTTGTTTGTATCGGGGTGTATTTGCACCTCTCCACAGGCAATTCTCAGAGTGTTTGAACAAATGTGTACTGGATACTGCGGCCTTATCTGCCCTTCAGGACCGACATCCTTCCAGCTGCCAGGAGTGTAGGCTTCTGAAGGCTCGCCCCTAAGATCCCCACCTCCAATGTTTGCACCCCATAACAACCAGCCCTTGGGCAGAAGCTGTCACTGTCCCTTCGCTCTGCAGGAAGGGGTTTAAACCTGGGCAAGGCTGGATGCAAAGGGTCAGAAGTAACGAGGTCAATTAAAAAGTCCTAGCACCATTTCAGGTGTGTGATGATGGGGTCTTGCAGGGAGGATAGGGAGAAGTAGTAGGATTTGGGATCTATTTCTAAGGGAGAGCTAACAGCATTTACGGAAGGATTGGATCTGGGAGCCTTTCCACTGCACTGCAGATCACAGGGAACTTCAAGGACTGACTGACAGAGATGGTTAGTGAGGAAATCAACCTGAAGTTCCTCTCTGGATATTTTACCAGCCCTGCATTGAACAGGTATATCATCCTGGCTTCCCTTTATGACGAATGCCATCATACTATATGATAGAGGCCTATTTAACATGGCAACCAAAGTTGCTGATGCTTGTTCAAAGGCTCCCTCATCTTAACAGTCAGGATGTTTTATTTTGGAGTTGTATTTAAACAACCTCAGCAGTTTGGATCACACTTTGAGAGTGCTGAAGAGTTTGAGGCTGAGTTTGTTGGCACTCTCTGATACGTCCGAGTGCAGATAACATTGTTCACGGCACTTTCCTAGAAGACAAAAGAAGGATGAGTTACGTCAGCATCGTTGGTGACAGTGACGTTTAGAAAAATGCAAACTATGTGTTGTTGTTGTGTACCGTCCAGTCAATTCCAACTCGTAGTGACTCTATCGGACAGAGCAGAACTGCCCCGTAGGGTTTCCAAGGCTCTCCACAGACCAAGAGGCAGTCATTCACACAGAACAAGCGGATACTGCATGGTTTAAAATCAGGAAAGGTGTGAGTCAAGGTTGTATCCTTTTACCATGCTCATTCAATCTGTATGGGGAGCAAATAATCCAAGAAGCTGGACTATATGAGGAAGAACTCGGCATCAGGATTGGAGGAAGGCTCATTAACAGCCAGTGGTATGCAGATGACACAAACTTGCTTGCTGAAAACAAAGAGGACTTGAAGCACTTACTGATGAAGATCAACGACCACAGCCTTCAGTATGGGTTACACCTCAACATAAAGAAAACAAAAATCCTCACAGCTGGGCCAATAAGCAACATCATGATAAATAGAGAAAATATTGAAGTTGTCAAAGACTTCATTTTACTTGGACCCACAATCAACACCCATGGAAGCAGCAGTCAAGAAATCAAATGACGTATTTCATTGGGCAAATCTGCTGCAAAAGACCTTTTTAAAGTGTTGAAAAGCAAATATGTCACTTTAAGGACTAAGGTGTGCCTTACCCAAGCCATGGTATTTTCAGTCACCTCATATACATGCGAAAGCTGGACAATGAATAAGGAAGACGGAAGAATCGACGTCTTTAAATTATGGTGTTGGCGAAGAGTATCGAATATACCATGGACTGCCAGAAGAATGAATGAGTCTGTCTTGGAAGTAGTACAGTCAGAATGTTCCTTAGAAGTGAGGATGGAGAGACTTCATCTCACATACTTTGGACATGTTATCAGGAGGGATCAGTCCCTGGAGAAGGACATCATGCTCGGTAAAGTAGACGGTCATTGAAAAAGAGGAAGACCCTCAACGAGATGGGTTGACACAGTGGCTGCAACAATGGGCTCCAACATAGCAACAATTGTGAGGAAGGTGCTGGACCGGGCAGTGCTTCGTTCTGTTGTACACAGGGTGGTTATGAGTCGGAACTGACTCAATGGTGTGCTGTTGAGTCAATTCCAGCTCATATGAACCTATAAGACAGAGCAGAACTTCTCCATAGGGTTTCCAAGGCTATAATCTTTTCAGAAGCAGATTGCCATATCTTTCTGCCCCATATCAGCTGATGGGTTTGAACCACCGATTTTTTGGTTACCAGCCAAACACTTAACCACTGCGCTACCAGGGATCCTTGCAAACTACATACATTCCTTTAAAATCTTGAGAATAGATCTATATAAACAACTATGTTGTTATTTTTGTTTGTTGTATAGCATCTATTTATTAGTTAATTGTTATACACACACAAAACAATGCATACGGCTTGTAAATTGAAGCATTTATTTAAGTATTTAAAATGCCTGGGGCCTTGATGGTGCAGTGGTGAAGAGTTCAGCTGCTAACCAAAAGGTCAGCAGTTCAAATCCACCAGCTGCTCCTTGGAAACTCTATGAGGCAGTTCTACTCTGTCCTATAGGGTTGCTGTGAGTCGAAATTGACTCAACAGCAACGGGTTTGGTTTGTTTTTTTTTAATGCATTTTTGCTATTTTACATACTCAACATTTTCGAGCAATACTAACTTACATTGATGTAATATTTTACAGTTTTTAGAACACTAAGTTATACATGATATTTAATTCTCTCAGAAAACCTTCTGGAAAGACATTGTCTCTATCTTGAAGGCAAGGAAATGGAATCTTGAAGAGAATAAATGACTTATCCAAAGGCACATAGGTATTTAATGGCAGAGATGGAAATCCAGTTCCTTGGACTCCGAGTCTAATATTCTTCCTAATGAAAAACTTGTCTGTTTATTATCCAATGTCCTTATAAGAAGCAACAAAATCAATCATTCTTGCTCCTCCCCTTCTGACTTGAGAAGGAAAAAAATGTGCTCTTCAATGTAGAAAGACAAAAAACATCTCTCTATTAAGAAGACAGGTTTTTTTTAAAATCTCAACACAAATCTTGTATATTCCCTTTGAACTATTTTATATTGTGTCAAAATTATTTTTTTATTCATTTTGGTGGGGGTGGGAATTTGGGAGAAAGAAAATCATTGACACATTTCTCCCCATTCTGCAGAAGTGGGAGATCCCTGGGTGGTGCAAACAGTTTGCAGCACTCAACTACTAACCTAAAGATTGGCAGTTCAAACCCACCCAGCATGTCATGGAAGAAAGGCCTGGTGGTCTGCTTTCCAATCTACTTTCATAAAGATCACAGTCTAGAAAACCCTATGGACCCCAGTTCTACTCTGTGACACACATGGGGTCGTTATTAGTCAGAATTGACTAGCAGGCAATGGGTTTGGGTTGTTTTTGGGGTTTTTTTGGTGGAAATGGGAAAGATGACCTGGGAGCCATCCTACTTGTCTAAGAGAATAGGATGACTTCGAAAAGTGTAGACTTTGGAATTAAAGCAGTCTGGGTTTTAATCCCAGCTCCACCGTGTTTTTCTAGCTATATATCCCTAGGTGGGTCAGCGTCCGACTCTGTTTGCTCCACTGTTAAATGGGCTAACAAATTCTACCGCACGGGATGACTGTGAGGATTGGGTAAATCATACATGAAAACTTGGGGATACCGTAGCCTTCTAAACGTTACTTCTTATTGATGCTAACACATCCATACACCAGAAAGATACCACTTCAGTTTTGTAATCCTGGTTTAAATTCCCTTTTCATGTTTTGTTTGGTGTTGAGCTGGAAATAGCAAGAAATTAATTCTAGTACGGAGTGGAGTATTGATAATAACCCTTAACCCCTGCTGAAGTCTTTATTGTACCAATGCATACTTATTTGGGTTTATACATGAGTCAAAGACAGGGGCTACAACATTTTTATGCCATATTCTTTAGTTAGTTAGTTCCCCAATCCATGCACATTTGATAATATTTATGATTGTATATTTGTCTATGTTTTTTCTCCCATTCCTATAAACCAGGGAAAAATAAGAATGACATTCCCTTTCATTTGCTTTTGAACCAGGTATTAAAGAGCTTTTATACATGGATGCTACAGTAGGTGAGGAAATATTCAGGAACAGCTCACTCACCACCACCATTTTCCCATCCACCAACTTTCTGGTTATGGTGGTCTCCTTGCCATCCCAGTCCTGAACCTGCATCAAGGAGCCATTGTCTGAGGTTACAGTACTCTGTAAAACAGAAAAACACCAAACTGAGCTCAGATAGTCACATTTGAGTGCTAACATGTTGTTGTTGTTTCAATTCAGACTCACAGTGACCCTACAGGACAGAGTAGAACTGCCCCACAGGGTTTCCTAAGCTGTAATCTTTACAGGAACAGATGGCCAGTTCTTTCTCCCACGAAGCCGCTGGTAGGTTTATCAGCTGAGCTCTTTAACCCTTATACCACTAGGGCTCCTTACACCAACATGAGGTAAGAACTATTATTATCACCATTTGTAAATGAAAAGACTGAGCCAGCAGGATTCTGTGACTTGTCCAAGGTCACAGCTTAGTGGATGGCATAGACGTGATTCATAGGTAAGCTGTCCTGCGCCAGAGTCACTATGTTCCCCATTAGATTACAGATATCCCTCAATAAACTCTACTCTTCGAGACAGCAATTATCCAACTGCAATATCATGTCATCACTGTGTTGTTATGACTCAGAGCTTCAAGTTCCGTTGAGTTGAGCCTTCTACCGAAATTATTTATTATTCTATTCTGTGGCAGAGACAATGATGGTCACCAAATTTTCCATTTACTCCCTTATATTTTCCAGCCTAATTACCACTAGTTGGAGCCTATAAAAATTATGATTAAAAATTATGTGGGTCACTTCCAGACTGAGGCCATGAAAACTTCTCTAGCTTGTTGACTGAGAAGACCACACGTTTTAGATGGTAGATACACAGTAGTTGAGTCTCCTTCAGCCTGAGTCCCAGAGAGGTTCAGTGGGGCAGATTCCCTGTTCCTGTCCATCCTCAAAGCTTCCCAGCCCCACCCAACATTGAATACATACTCTGATCCTCATCCAGTTCATGGTGACCCCATGTGTATCAGAGTAAAACTGTTCCATAAGGTTTTCAATGGCTGATTTTTCAGAAGTAGATCACTGGGCCTTTCTTCAGAGGTGCCTCTGGGTGGACTCAAACCTCCAACCTTTCAGTTAGCAGCTGAGCATGTTAATCATTTGCACCACTCAAGGACTCCAAATACATACTAGGAGTTAGAAATCAATCCCACTTGCCCCATGTAAGCAGAGATTGAAGTGTTGCAGACAAACCAAGGAACGCCAGCAGCCACCAGAAGCTGGAAGACGAGATCTATTCTGAAGATCCTCTAGCATTTAGAGAAAATGTTTATAAAATAATCATTTTTAAACCACCGAGATTTTGTAGTTAATTAGTTACCATGGCATAACCTAGCCTATACCAGTCGATACAAGTTTGATTCACTGTAATTCTATGTGTGAACAATTGCTACAAAATAGAAAGTGAGAACTTCTGTTTCTGAGAGAACTAAACGCTAATCTAAGGAAATGATTCTCAAGATGTGGTCTTCTAAACATCTGCATCAGAATCATTGCAAAAAATGCAAATTTCAGGTTCCCACCCCAGATATCAGAGCCTCTGGGGATGGGACCTAGAAGCAGATCTTTTTCACAAGGATCCCACAAGATTTCTATGTATATTAAAGTCTGAGATCCTTGGACCTAGGTTTCAGCCAAAAATTCATCCAATAAAGACTTTATTTTTTTTTAATTGTTGTAATTAAATGAAGTTTACATTTCAAGTTAGTCTCCCATACAGAATTTTTTTTTATTTTTTAACATACATTGTTATGAGATCCCAACCGCTCACCCCGTTCCATGACAGCACACTCCTCCCCTCCGCCCCTGATTCTCCATGAACATTCAACCAGCTCCTAACTCTCTCTGCCTTCCCCTCTC